GAAACAGTTCCATCCTCGTCATCTATGGACTGTTCGAAGAGAGAATAACCCTCGCTCTTTGAGTTATTCTTCACACTTCATACATTTCAATAGCATTATTCAAGCAAAACTCCCAAAAGGAGCATGTCCGATGTGCAATATTTTCTCTGTCCACTCAATTAAATGAGAAAGCTGACCGATGCCATACATACAAAATCCTATATGCGCAGACGAACAAAGTGAAGTAGCTCAATCATACTGACTTGTTTCAATTTATATGACATTCTTTCCATATTAGAACGTCCCAGCATGTTTGCACCAGTCTTTTTCGATCAAACTTTCACAACTTCTACTAATTCGAATTAAAAATCAGATTGTAAAAGTCAATGTGATATTTCCATATCAATCTGAATTTGCAACAGCGCAGAGCTGGAAAGAGGGAAGGGGTTCAATTGAATCCCATCGTTGGAAAATTATCCAGTGCAAATAAGGTAAAATAAAAATCTTTGGTTATATATAAACTGTTGAATTTATCAAGGGAATATTTTTATAGTAGCGGTAGAGGGGTTCAGAAGTTGCTTTAAGTCACAACTTCAAATCCGAACTATGACATTCTCTGGCATATAAATTCCTTGCTCCCCCACTGCTTTGCAGCCATCATTTTGCTATTTTCTTTCAATATCACTAATATAATATACTAGTCAAAATGAACATCTCAAACTCCGTATTCAGTCAAACACCATCACTAAAATTGAAACATATACACATCTTTTATGTGTGTGTCTGTGTTGATTATGCTTTTTTAATCACATCAATATATAGTGAGATCATGATCTAAAGCAACATGCCTGTAAGATTCCGTAGATGACGAGAGTAGACAAGATTCCACCCACTGCAAAAACTCCTTTGAGCACCTTGTTGTCCTTCAACGGCGGCGATGGTGGCTCCGTCATATCCCATCCAATATACCCGCCGCCACCTCTGTCTACAATACAACACACAAAAACATCTCATAAATACACACACACATATATTAATATGTGGGTGTGTGTGTTTATTTTACGTTATAGAAATGTACAAAGGGATAAATGAGGAAAGTGAAATGACCAGCTCACCACGGCTGAGAAATGTACGGACGGTCGCCGGAGTCCAGTTCTGCAGATGGCCGGTGATTTAACTCCGGGAGAGTGAGCTTTTTAGACTGAGGGAAAAGACCCGTTTTAGTGTTTTCGCCGGCGGTTTTATGCTTTCACCGCTTTCCTCTTTTTTATGTTTCTTTTTTTAATATCTTTTTATTGTTTTAGGTAATTACTAAGGGTGTGAGGACACGTCAGATTGAGAGGACCCACTCGGTAATAGTAGCTGTAACTGCAGTAAGAGCTTATGTCTACCTTAGAAAGACAAAAAGGTTGTTTTTCAGCTAAAGAAAAAGATGAAAGAAACTAAAAAAATAATAACAATACAAGATATTTAGAAAATTAGAACCAAGATAGCAAATGAAAAGATGGATAATGTATTGATAGCAAGTAATAATAATCCAAGATAAATAGTAATAGCAGTCTAAGGATAAAAATGATACCATCCTAAAACTAATACTATCTAACCAAGGAAGATAATTATTGTCGAAAGTATAATTTTTTTTAAACGTCAAATACATAAACGGCCCCTTAAACTTGTATATGTAATCCATCTAGCCACATGAACTCAACTTCTAACCATTTAAACACTTAGACCTTTATTATAATTGTGTCACTTAGGGCTTGTTTGAAAAGCCACTTTGTAATTGAATTTGGATATAGTTAGGTGTAATTACATAATTTGGCATATTTGTATTTACCCGTAAAATGTTATAGTTGAATTTGTAACGTGATTTATAGACAAACGAATCGATTTGATCCCGTAACCATGATATGTAATTACTATTCTAGTAATTACACCATCAGGTATTACACATGGCTTTCCAAATCTTGTGAAATAACACTCTACAGTTATCAAGTGAATGTGAGAATTGTAGGTAATTACATAGTATAACTACCATATGACTTTCCAAATCTTTTTTTTCCTTTTCATATATCATCTTTTCTCTTACGTTTCTTTATAACAACAACAATAACATGCTCAGTATTATCCCACACCGTGGGATCTAGGGATGGTAGTGTGTATACAGACCTTACCCTACCTTGTGAGGATAGAGAGGTTATTTGCAATAAACCCTCGGCTCAAGAAAGCATAACCACCACATTAATAAAAATATAGGTAAGAAGGGACAGTACCAAAAAGCCATATAAAAGCAGAATAAAAATAATAAGATAGTAAGGTGATCAACAATGAAAGAAAACAACGGTTAGTCATAAAAACCTACTACCAACAGAAAGCGAGACTACGTACCAATACTACTATTATGAATACTCTAGACTACCTACTCTACTATCCTAATCCTCGACCTCCATACATTCCTATCAAGGTCATGTCCTCCGTCAGCTGAAGTTGGGCCATGTTTTGCCTAATCACCTCTTCTTTGGCCTACCTCTTCGTAGGCCCTCCAATGTCAATCTATCACACCTTCTCACCGGGGCGTCTGTGCTCCTCCTCCTCACAACCACCTAAGTCGCGTCTCCCGCATCTTGTCCTCAATAGGTGCCACACCCACCTTGTCACGATTAACCTAATTTCTGATCCTATCTAATCTAGTATGCTCGCACATTCATCTCAACATCCTCATCTCTGCTACCTTCATCTTCTAGACATGAGCGATCTTGACTAACCAACACTCCGCCCTATACAACATCATTGGTCTAGCCACTACTTTGTAAAACTTACCCTTAAGTTTTGGTGGAATCTTTTTGTCACACAAAACACCGGAAGCAAGTCTCCATTTCATCCATTTCGCCTCAATACAATGTGTGACATCTTCATCAATCTCCTCATCCCGTGAATAATAGACCCAAGGTATTTAAAACTCCCTCTCCTAGGGATGACCTGCGAGTCCAGCCTTACCTCCCCTTCCCCTCCTTGAGTCTCACCACTGAACTTACACTACAATTATTTTGTCTTGGTCCTGCTCAACTTGAAACCTTTAGATTTTAGGGTCTGCCTCCATACCTCTAATTGCGCGTTCACACCGCCTCTCGTCTCGTCAATTAATATAATATCATCTGCAAATAGCATGCACCATGACACCTCCCCTTAAATGTGGCGCGCCAGTACGTCCATCATATTTTTTCTTCTTCCTTTTTGAATGTTTTTCTGTCATGACCTAAAATTTCATCTGAGCTGTAATTGTGCCTAATACCGAATGTTAGGTAAGCTAATAATAAATAAGTAGAAATAAATTTAAATAACAGTATTAAATAGTCTCAATAGCGGAATGCTCATAAATAACTAAAGTCAATAGCCATAACATGTCTAAAAACCATCTTACGACCTGGTGTCATTGAGTATATGAGCACTACAAAATTCAAATACAGTGTCTAATATCAAAATAAAATATTGTCTGAAAGATAGAACAGTATAATATAAACTAAGAGAAAAGGGACTTCAAGTCCTGTGAAAGAAAACAACAACGACCTCAAAATCTCCAAAATTAGTTTTGATGCCGCTATCTGGCAATCACCCCCTCTCAGCAGCACCTGGATCTGCACATAGAGTGCAGAGTATAGTATAAGTACAACCGACTCTATGTACTCAATAAGTAACAAGCCTAACATCGAGTTAAAAATAGTGACAAGTTTAGCAAGGTCCATTATTCATTTCCAATAGCTAATAACAATAATAGCAATATAATAACGGCAAAAGGAAAAGAAGTTCAAGTAATATCAAGTTTAATCTTTTCACAATAAGAAGGAAAATGAGTATGTTTTTCAACAACAATAGTTAAGGCATAAATTCTTCCGTAGAAATCGCCTAAACATGGTCTTTATCAACTTAACTATAATTCAACGTTCTACACATCAAATGGAGATATAAAGTACCAAGCAGCATGAGGGTGGAACCACAACTCTATACCCGCATGACAAGTATGCATGCTAGAATTAACATTTCGCAGTTAAATTATCTAATATACCCAATCTCAGCGCATGTATAGTGCTTAACACAAATACCTTTAATCATCACACACAACCACAGTCTACATTATACGGATGTCTGATACATGTCCCTCACCAAGCACATATATAACCGGTGTGCTTGTACCCAAAGCTTAATACCTGACTCCGGGG